GGGGAGGGGGCGGGCCCAGCACTGACTCCTCCCCTCCAGGTGCTGCGGCTGATGGTCGGCATCCAGGTGACAGACGAGCAGCTGGCGTGCATTGCCGACCGCACCATCCAGGAGGCCGACCAGGACGGTGACGGCGCCATCTCCTTCGAGGAGTTTGCCACGGTCTGGTGGGGTCAGGGGAGCAGGGTGTAGACTGGGGAGGGTTAGTGGGGGGGTTGATCATCTAGAGGGGAGGGGTGAGGCATATTGGAAGGGTGGGAAGCGTGAAGGATGGATTATTAGGTGCATTACAGTAGCCCTTGGGGCTACAACCAATCAGGGCCCCATCGTGATGGGTGCTACATGGATGCACACACATAGTGAGACACAAAGAGCTCACGGTCTAGTGAGACCATGGAAGGACCATTATCCCAGTTGTACAGGAAGGGAAACCGAGGCACGGGGAATTGAGTCCCAGCTCGGAGCCTTAATCATGTAGCCAGCCCCCCAGGGCCCTCGGTGGCGGTCCTGGGTGGCAGAGCGTTTTGGCCCAGGCCTGTCCGCGTGTCCGACACCCTCGTCTCCCCGCAGTCCGTGGAGAAGCTGAACATCGAGCAGAGAATGAGCCTCCGGATGCTGAAATGACCCGTCCGGCTCCGACCTTCCCCCTGCCGGCCACGCTGCACCGGAGGGGGCAGCAACCAATCAGCTTTCAGCCCCGCCTTCTCGTCCTATCCAATCCACCTCCTTGCCTCGGCAGAGTTCCGGATGGAGAAGAGCCGTGTCCAATCCGATTTCACCTCTGCCCCTTGTCTGAGCTGGATCGGGTTGAAGAAGGGCTGCAGCCAATCGGATTTCAGTGCTGACAAAGAGCCTGCTGGGAGGCTGGCCAATGGCCAATTAGAGCAGCCTCGGGGCTGCTCTACCTCACACTCTACCCCTCTCGGGCCGGGGGAGCGCGCCCCCCATTGACCCCTGTGCCGGGAGGCAGGGCCCTTACGCACCGCAGCCAGGGATGCGCACTGGGGGCTCAGCGTGCCTGGGAACTGGGCCCAAAGTCTCCCACTGTCGGGACTGGGTTTGCTTGGATTCACTCTGCCGGTCGGCTAAGCAATAAAGTAACTGGAAAACCTCGGCCCTGGCCGTGAATTTCCACCTGGAGCTCGTGCCAGCCCAAGGCTGCCTGCTTTGCCCTACCCTGTGAGTCCCTGGGGCAGTGTGGCCAGCCCCAGAGCTCCTCTCGGGGGGTCCCCCACCTCCAGGTAAGGGGCTCGGGCTCCATTTACTCCTGAGGTTCTGGGGCGCAGGGGGGCTAAGCGGTTGAGGCCCTCGACTGATCCGGTGGGTTGGAGTCTCCTGTACTCCAGCACAGAAAGGCCCCTCCCATGCCCCCAGGAGCACGAGGGTCCCTGACCCAAAGGTCGCTTCACCCACCACTGGCACCTGCTAGGAAACCTTGGAACGTGGCGCTGACTCTGCTGAGGCCACCAGCAGCGATTCTCGGGAGCGCCGGTCCTGCCGAGCTGTCACCTGCCCGGGGGGCCACGAAGCAGAGTGGGGGGCTGGGGAAATGGCTGGTCCCACAGCGATGGCAGTAGGGGGGTGAAGGCAGACGGGACGTTTTCAAGGGCTGGAGTCTTGCCCCTTCCCTGGTGGATTTCTCTGTGACTGCTTGTTCCCAGCTCCAGCGGGCGCCCATCCATCTGAGCTCTCTGCCCCGATAAAACATCCAGCCACCTGCTCATCTCCACGCCGAGCTCAGGCCTTCCCACAACCAGCCCTAGTAGAGCCAAGGGGCTTGGTATCATTTTCCCCATTCCATGGGTGGGGAAACTGAGGCACGGAGAGGCCATGACTTGCCCATGGTCCAGCTGAGATTACAGCCCACAGCTGTTTGTACCTGGCCTGCCCCAGTGGGGTTCTACTCCAGGCAGGGTGCCTAGGCACTACTGCCATACACCTAGCAGCAATACAAATGTACAGCGCCTGGCACAATGCCGGCCCACTCCATGGTTGGGGCTCCCAGGTGCTACCGTAATACACCTGATAGCCATCAAAATGCTCAGCACCTGGTGCAATGGAGTCTTGACCCATGACTGAGATGCCAAGTAGGGATGTTAAATATCGGTTAATTGAATAGTCGATTAACTTCATGAATTCTTATTGGTTAGTCAACTATTCTATAGTCCCCCAGCCAGTGCACCCCGGCCCCTCTCCCAGGGAGCCCCCTGCCACTCCGGGCTGCTGCCTCTATATCAGAGGCAGCAGCGGGGGCTGGCAGGCGGGAGCTGATCTGCAAGGGAGCCAGTTTAAAAACCAGCTCCCCTGGTGGACCAGCTGCCTGTTGCCCTGCACTGCTGCCTCTGATCCAGAGGCAGCAGTGCAGGGTGACAGCAGCCCCTGTCTAGGGAGTGGTCTGAGCTGCCCAGGGGTGGGAGCAGGTGGCACCGTGAAGCTGGTGCTGGGTGGCCAGCCTGCTAAAAAGTGTCCTGGTGGGGCAGGATGCGTGTGGTCTATAGCACTAACCTATACGCTTTTGCTTATCGGTTAATCCGCCACACTATTACATCCCTACTGCCAAGTGCTACTGTAATGCACCTAATAGCCAGAAAACCCTTGCAGGGCAATACACCTAAATAAACCCCAACAGCTGACCCGGTGGGATCCAGCCTGGGAGTTTTCCAGGCGCCCGGAGGGGCCCTTTCCATCTATTGCTTTGGGTGGTCGCCCTGTCTCCCCTCAGTCCCTCCTGGGGAACCCCAAGGAGTTGGGGGGGGCTAGGATCCCAAGGGGCACTTTGGACTCGAATCCCCCCTGATCCCGTTTAAACGGGGGCCTGGTCTGATCTTGGCTCGAAGTGGGCTCCTAAGGAGGGGGGGGAGGCTGCTTTCCTGGAGCAGGCGAGCGGTGGGGACAGAGGGGGCTGGTCACAGTGGGG